GTCCAAGTGGAACTGGGCTCTGTACAGTTTTCCACGGCTGGTTTTTCGGTGCCTCATTCATGGATGCAGACGTGTCTGTAAGGAAGAGCAGGGGGGCACCTTCCTCTGCACCCTGGGCTCTGGCTCCCTGCTCGCCTAGCGCTCAGGTCCTCACTTTTTTGTGAGGCACCTCTGAGTGGACTCAGACCTCCAACTTTGCAGTTAGCAGCAGAGCACGTTTGTGTTTGTGCCACCCAGGGACTCCAGTATGTGAATCCGGAACCAACAAATCAGTGATGCAGATATAAAGCAATGATCCAGGAGTTTAGAAGTTCAGAAGGTTCAGTCACAAACGGGAGAGTGTGAGCAAAAATTCAGCCAGGGATAGTAATATTCCTGGGGTGTGTCAGGCCTCTCCTTTCCGGTGGAATGTAGGAAATTAATGGGGGAATAAGGATGAAAAGGCTCTAGAAGCCTCCATTTCCATTCTGATAACAAATATTACTGGAGAGGGGTAGCACATCCACGAGCTAGGATGCTAACAGTGCAGGACTGGTGAGGACCAGTGTATTCCGTTTCTCTTGCTGTGCAACAAATTACCACAAAGTTAGCAGTGGAAAACATCCATGGGCCAGGAGTCTGCAGGGCGTGGGGGGGCCCTTAGTCTCCCAAGGTTGTAATTGAGGCGTTGACTAGGCTGCATCTAGAAGCTTGACTGGGAAGAATCCGCTTCTCAGCTCCCTCGGGTAGTTGGCAGGTTCATTTTCTTCTGGCTGGCTGGTGGCTGGAGGCTGCCCGCAGGTGCTCCGGACCACCTGCAATTGCAGTTCCCTGCCATGTGGCCCTCTCTGTAGGCCATACTCCATGGCTGCCTATGTCTTCAGGGCCAGCAGGAGAAATTCACTCCCGCTCAGATGGAGCCTTGTCTAATGTCACACAATCATGAGAGTGACGTGCCATCTCTTCGGCCGTATTTTATTGATGAGAAGCAAGTCACGGGACCCACCCCCACTCAAGAGACTAGACAGGGCACACCACCAGAGGAGGGTGAAGGTCATTGGGCCATCCAAGAATGCTGCCTGCCATGAGATAAGGATGGGATCATCACCTGGAAATCAACGTTGCCTAGTTCACAGTTTCCAAGAAAGTCAACTCCAAGTCATTAAATACCATCTTCAAGATAAATGTATTGTGTTGATTAGCTGCTTAGACTATTATGGTTTGGTTGAAGAATTACAAGATTTCCTCAGAGTTGTTAATATTTTATTATTATCACTAAAATATGTGTAAGAATAAGGACCACTGAGCCATGATGTGTCCTACTTCACAAAAGATATTTTTAAATGATGATTTTAAAAAAATCCTCCTTTATACTGCCCCCACACCTTTTCTATAATGAGCGTGCCTTTTATATTCAGAAAAGAGGCCAGGTTAAAAATTACATACAATGTGTTTAAAAAAAAACCAAAACCCTCCAAGGTGAATACTATTGAAATGGATTTCAAAATACTATTGAAATGGATTTTTAAAAAAATTCACCAGCATTCCACCACCACCACCACCACCACCACCACCACCACCGGTTGCCATCCAGTCAAGCACAACTCCTGATGACCCTATGTGTGGCAGAATCGCGCTGTGCTCCTTAGGTTTTTGAAATTTACTTATCGTGGTGGTGGTGGTGATGGTGAGAATACACACAGAAAAACACATACCAGTTCAACATTTTCTCCACGTACAGTTCAGTGACATCGATGACATTCTTCGAGTTGTGCAACCATTCAGTTTTTTCGGAGTTGTTCCTTCCCCTGTTCCTTAAGGTTCCTGTGGAAATTCCATCGGGTTTCAGTGGCTGATATTTCAGAAGTAGGTGGCCAGGCCTATCTTTCCAGGTGCCACTGAGTGGCCTGAGTGTGACACACTCATAACAAATATGTTCCACATTGCACCACCCAGGGACTCTTATCAGCGCTAGGGAAACACAGGTAGTTTCAGTCACTCAGGACTCCAGTGGTTAAGGACTCACAGGTCCTACAGGACGGCCCTGGGGGGAAAGATGTTCTTTCCAGCAGGTGAATGCCTTTTTAGGTAGTTACTTTTTTCTTAACAGAGCATGTTATTGACTCTTTTGGGCATAGCTCAAGTGGAATTGTAATGATGTAAATACAGAATCTGAAAAATTGCCATGTCTCATTTTAAACTACAAAAGTGATAATAAACAAAAAACCTGTAACCGTTTAGTGGATGTGTAGGCTTATTTTGATCAAACTAAATCACAGATCCTCGACATAAAAGCTGTCTTGTTCACTTCCTGACGGAAAG